CACACATTGGGAAAACTAAATGCGCCTTCTGTGAAGCAAGGAACAGATTAGAGCTCAGTAGTCCAAAACAGAAGATTAAGTTGCAGTCCACCACAAACAAGGCCTAAAAATGTGCCAAAGTAAAACCAGGGATGAAACACTGCTTGAAGACCATAGAGAACACTCACTCCCACCACATTTTTAAGTCATTCCTACAAAGCTCCTGAGATTCTGTTCAAAATTTGAAAAATTCATTAGAAGAAATTTAATGTCAAGAAAGGGAAGCGTGCTGTCATTTTCAGTTTCTCTCTATCCACTTCATCTCTTCTGAAAAAAAAAAAACAAAATCACCACCCCAAACTCCTAGTGCTAATAATAAATGCTCACAACCAAATAGAAGATACTGCAATGTTACCTTCCAGCAATCAAGGACTGCTAATCTGTGACAAGCAAAACACCCATAGCCCAGAAGGGACAGTTCAAGGAACCGTGCTGAAGTAGAGGACCCTCAGTCCCATAATCAAGACACTAGAAGTACAGTTACTTTGTATCAGGTATTGCAGTCAAATGGAACCCATTTCCTATTATGCATCTGTTCTTGAGATAGCTGCAAGACAGAATAAACTGATGCTGGGATCATAGCATGTTGTAAGACCACTCACAGACAGCTGAAGTTTTTCCTTCTTCCCTTGCAAAAAAAAAACAAACAAACAAACAAAAAAAAAACAGAAAAAAAAAACTAGAACCTGATCAAAAGCAGACGGCACTGCTCAGGGCACAAGCCTCAGCCAAGACCCAAGCTCCATTTCCACCAAGTTCAGTAGCACATTTGCTTGATCCACCTTGATTTTTAACTTGGTGACTAAAAGAAAAAAAAACAGAACAAACCCTTATGCTGACCCCAACACACCTTTCTCCAGTTTGAAAACCAGCAACAGTTGAAATTCCTAATAAAATACAAAACCGATTGATTAATCATTATGAAATTAACACTAACATGTTCGGCTCCAGAATAAAACCACAGTACATAGCTTTCAGGATACACCGAAAGTGATGATGAGGAGAGCCACTCTCTCTGCCTGCATTCTCCTGATGGCTTTGGATGCAGGCTTTCTCAATTTGTCAAAGCACTTGCATGAGAGCTTATGAATGTGTTATTTTGTACATATGTGTTTAGGAAACACTTGTAAGCCCCATTAAAATGATAGATTCCTACAAGAAATACCTTGGAGTTGTCATGTTCACAGAAGAGTGAAGGGGAAGGAAAAAAAAGAACCAAACCAAAACCACACACACCACCACCAAAGCTACTTGATCTTAATATTATGTGAAAATCACTAGTTTAAAAAATAATTATTTCCATTAAGCTGGTGTAGCCAGTCTAGTAAGTCAGTCAAAAATATGTATTCTGAAGGTTCACTAAATTAGTAGAATCTTTGATACAATTCTTAAGAAAACTATAAGGATTCCCTTTTCAGACTCGCACAAGAAAAACAGCACCTGACAAAACCAAGCACAAAGTTTATGGCATGACATAACAACATCCATTTTGATACAAACATGCACCTAACTGACCTAAATAGTTTATGCAAAAATACATACATGTTTTTACTTACAGACATTATATTCATATTTCCTGATAGACACTTATACTGCCCTCCCGATTTGCTTACAGGAAGACCCACAAGGTCTGAGCAGCATAAAATCATAGAATAGACTCATAGAATAGTTAGGGTTGGAAAGGACCTCAAGATCATCTAGCTCCAATCCCCCTGCCATGGGCATCTCATGCCATGCCACACTACTTGCTGCTATACTGCATTTTCCAAGCCTGTCAAGTGTTTACAGTTGCTGAAATGTTAACAAATGTTAACCAGTCTCCTGAAATGAAGAAATTCCTGGACTATTCTTCAAGAACCAGAAGAGGGGGGCACAGACAGATTCACAGATCTCTGACTCCTCACCCTGTTTCTATCCAACAGAAATAGGACAATGAAGGAAGAAAGGTAAGACACTGGAAAGCAAAGAAAGCATCAACATCTTTAAAGAGCTGAAACACTCAGGACATTAAAGAAAGGTAAGTTATGCAGTCTTTCACATGCACTTACTCAAGTTCTCAGCAATACTACATAGCTGCAAGCAAGGACAAAAGGCGGTTTGTACAACCTGAGACACCATTCACCATGTGGAAGTTGAAGAACTCTTGATCCTACAGTCTTGCTGAGCAATTAATTTCCTTCCAACATGTGGTAAGGCCTATAGATCAGCCTCAACAGAACAACAAATTTACTCATCCAATGCCTAAGATGCAATCTACAATCATTCACTTAGCAGTTACCTGTGCTTACAAAACACTGTTTGAAACAATCTCATTCATTTCAGAGTTAAGCAAAATTTTGAGAAATAGTTGTCAGAGTTAAGCCTTCAGGGCCCACACTTAAGATCATGGTCAGTGATTTCAAAACATTTCATTCACAAAGAATATCCTAACTTTCCTGAACAACAGCCATGAAGGATGTCATGTACCTGTTTATAATGAATATTTTTGACTAAACAAAAAAGCCACACACTCGTGTATATTCTCTCATCAGCTTCACTAACCCAAGCATTTTTTTTTAGTGAGAACCGTATAGCTGTGCTTAAACTTTCTGAAGAAAAGGTACCAAGAAATTAATAGAGCACTGTTCCTGATAGGCACTAACCACCTTTTCTCTATAAAGGGACAAACTGTTAGGATCCTCCAAGACTCATCCATTTGAAAAGCTAATTAAGAGGCAACTGAAGACACATGCAAGTTAAAAGCCGAGATGATTTTATCATTGCACTCCCCCTTTCCAAAACAATCCCTTGCCCTAGAATGAACTTTGTTTCAATTCAGGCAAGTTCAACTGCTAAGCATTTCTAAATGCTTGCATGTGTCCGTCTTGCTTATGAAATGGAAACTCTATCACAGAATCCCAAAAGCCTAAGGTGTAACAGATCTTAGATCATGCACTAGGTTGCTACATTATTAGATGCTAAGAAACTAGAAGTATATTTGAGTATTTGTGGGCCATCTGAAACTAATTCACACTCTCAAGACAAACTGCTATTTTATTCCTGCTCTTCATAAATATGTACTTTATTTTCTTCTTTTTCCTTTTTTTTTTTTTTTAAGGAGTGAAAAGGCCTAGAAGGAATTTTATTCTTCTACATATTTGTATTTTGGTGTGAGCTTCTCTTCTGTTAGTGCCAGTCACCATGTTTACAAGAACATGGAGTCAAAATAAAAGGATGCTGGAGTCAAGGCATTTTAAAGCCAAAACAAAATACACACAAATAAAACACAGCAAGTTAAAAATCTGTACAGGCTCAGTAAACGTGATTGGCCAACATTAACTTCTAGAACTTTTGGGCAGAAGTAAGCTAACATCTGCAGGCCTTGAGTTTCCACAGCTTTAACTAGCTGATGGGCATTGCTTGCATTAACATATGCTCTAAAGAGAATTGCTTCTCCTATGAACTACATACTTGATATCACCATACTGACACAAATACATAAGCCATGGACAATTAAAGCCTTTCAGGTACAGTAATGAAGCATTTTAAGATCACTATCTAGTATATTTTCCCTCCCCTTTTACTGTACAGATGAAGGCATCAGGATGCTCACTTTCAGACTGGCAGGTAGAGCTGTACGACCGCCGCTAGAAATAGGATGAGAGCCTGAATGCAGCCTTATCATTTGCTTCTGCTAACGCACAAAATGTAAAGAGCTTCTAGGATTTTGCAAGTAGGAGATGGAAAGTTACGTACCGGTTATTTTACTGACACACAAATCTCGGGAGGTTACACGGACTGTCCAAAATAACACCAAATATAAGAGGCTGCCATTTACCATCTGTTTGCCTCTCTCAGTAAAAGAAAAAAAAAGTGCAAATCACAAGAACAAATGGAGCCTGGCTCCGGGGAGAAGGAAGAAGTGGAGAGAGGAAATTTCCACGCAAATCCTAAGTGAATCACGCCGCGATCCCCGCTCTCAGTCGCTCCGGCCTCTCCCGGCGCAAGCGAGAGGCTTCGGGGACACCGACCCCCCGCGCCCCCGGCCTGGCCAGGCCCAGCGGCTCCCCGCGCCTCACAGGGAGGAAATAAACACAGCCTCCCCCAGGAAGCTGCATGGAGAGAGCTCCCGGCCCCGGCGGCCCCCGGGGAGGACCCGCCTGCTCGCCCTCCCCACACGGCCCGGTGTCCTCCGCGCACGGCAGCGGACCGGCGCGTCTCCCCCGCAGCCGGGGCTGGCACCGGGGAGTGGGCTGAGGCCTTCGCCGTCCCAGGGAAGCCTCGGCGCTCTCGCAGTCACAGCGGCCCGGCTCCCCCCCCTCGCCTCTCCTTCCCTCCCTCCTTCCTTCCCCAGCCCAGCCTTCAGCTCGCACTCACCCGCCTTCCTCCTCCCTGCCGGGCCCGCGGTGCGTGTGCGCGGCTCTCCCTCACGCTGCCCGGCACGGCGGGGGCGGGCGGGTGGGTGGGTGAGCGTGCGGGAAAGGAGGCGAGGGGAAAGGAGGAGAAGGGTGGGGAGGGAAGGAGAGAGGCGGCGAGAAAAGAGAGAAGCGGGGGGAAAGAGAACCGAAGCGACGCTCTTGGGGCGGGACCTGCGGCGGCGGCCGGCCGAGCGCTTGGGTGGCTGCTCCAACGACCTTTACGCGAGAGACGAGTAATCTCCGAGCTCGGGGCGCTCTGCTGCCAGCCCGGCCACCATCTTACATTAGGGAGACTTGCCCCGGACGCCGCCTCCCCTTGCGCTTGCGCCGCCGACAGTGGGCGGGCAGCAACAGCCGGAGAGAGCGCGAGCAGCGACAGTAACGACCGCGACGGCGCTCGGCATGACGGAACTTGTAGGCGCCGGCACGGGTTGCGCTGGGGGAGGCGGTGTCTGCTGTGTGTGGCCCCGAGCCGGGGTCCCATCTCCACCCGCCGCCGTCGCCCGGATGCGGCCGCTGACTCCAGGCCCTCTCTCCAGGCAGAGCCGCCCCACTGCCCAGCGCGCCGTAAAGCCGCCGCACTTCCAGCCACCTGTTGCTGGCTATTAAACCTCCGCAGGTCAGAAGTACTGGGCTGATTTTTTTGTTATTATTATGTTCCAGTCTCATTGATGCTCCTTTGGGTTCTTTTCCCCCGCCAGCTCGAAGCGATCCCGTCTGCCTTCCCCCACGCCACCCTCAGCCCGTTTTGGCTGTGGGCTATAACGTCCGGGGAGGGAATGTCCTCCCGCAAAGCGGCTGTCAGTCAGCCGGGACACCTGCCTCGGCGTTTAGCTCAGGGCTGGATTCGGCTCCCACAAAACTCAACACAGGCAGCCGTTTCTCACAGCGCCTCCTTCCCCTCACGCGCCGGGAGAGCGGGACTGCGCCCTGCCCTGCCGCGGTCGCCGTCTGCTGTCACGCTCCTAGCAGGGCCCCAACTTTGCCAGCCTCGCTCCCCGAGAAGGCACCCCCGCGCTATCTCCCCACTTATCCTTCCCTTTTTCCCCCTCTATTTTTTTCCACCCTCACAGGCTGCAAACAGGAGAACTCGGAGTGACAGGATCGCTTCTCTAATGAGGACATCTGTTTCTGAAGGTGCGAAGTTTGGAAACCACTTCCGTGTCCCTCTGGTTCCTGGGACACTGTGCTGCTGTCCTGCCAGACCTAGCTTCAGGTGGCCAAAACGTCCCCTGACCTGGCCAGCACTTCTCTGTGCCCAGGTATGGCTTTCCCATGGAGGTGCTTCTCCTTCGATGAAGAAGTTGTTGTTACTATTATTGGGATTTTGCAAGTCCATGACCCATTTGGAGCAGAGCCCAACCGTACAGAAAGAGGTGTTTCCCTGGTTTTTCTCTCTTCATTTGCAAAATCCAGAAAAATTCTGTTTTCATGTATAGGGGTTGTAAGTAATTTTGACAGAAGCAACTTCTTGATGTCCTTGTCAAGTAGAGAAGTAGAGATCTTTCACCTGCCCAAAAAAACATTTTTTTTTAATTCTTTTGTTCTTCTTTTGTCTTTGTGTTGTCAGAAACTTGCCCAAACCACATTGTTTCTGTCTTCTGTTTCTACCGCAGACAGCCTGGGACAGGGGCCTGTTAAAACTGAACCCATAACTTTCCCTTCCTTTTTCCTTTAATCCCAGTGCCACACAAAGGACCTCATCATCTCAGCTAACAGACAAAAAGAGCACTTTTACTCACTGCCTTTACTGCTATCCAATATCTCTCCTTGCACTGGCATCCTCAGCTCTCCAAACAGGCAGCCTTGGTGTTTCATTATCACTTATCTCCAGTGCACAAGCTATTCCTACTTTTGCCATGAAATTAACCGCCTGAGAATTTTACTTATTTCAGCAATGGATAGGAAAGAGAGGTTTTCATCACAGAATGCACTGGCATAATTACTTTGTTTAGTGGCATGATGGTTTTTTTCTTCACTTATGCGTCTTAGATTGAAGTGTAATACTAGTACAGCCAAGTGCAATACGCTCATCCTACCCACAGTAAAGTGCCTTGTCTTGGCATAGTTCATTCTTCTTCCTAAAACAAGTTGACACTACCTTATGCAGATTAAATTTTATATTGATATACATATATCCACAACAGGAAAGCTGTGTGAATTAACTTTACCACTTCTGACTGTAGGCAAGACCCAGGTCTGCATAAACATAAATTCTGTTTTCAGCAATAGTCTTGACATATGAACACAAATGCAATGTTCTTTTGAAAACAAAACATACAAGGGAATATAAACACCTATAAATGTGAGAAATTCCATATATATTCGACTGTAACATATACTTCATATATATAGCTACGTATTAATCAAATTCAGGTGACTATATATGCATATAAAATAATGTATTTCTCCAAAAGTTAATACCTTTCACATTTTCACATCAACCTGTGTATGAAGCATTAGGTTTCAGCAGTACCCATTATGTTAGTAACTTATATATGTAATGTAATTGCTGGCACACCTAATACCTAGGAATGTTTCCTGTTGAATAAAAGCAAGTAGTCTGACTTGGAATGAAAGATTAAAATTAATAAATCTAAAAGGTGCACTTCTTAGACAGAGTTGAATCTGTATGTTAAGTGAATTCTGTGATTTCTTTTAATCCAGTACTGAGGAGTCTTTCCCTTAGTAAGAGTCTGTCCATATCCCTTTGCTGAGTCCTGCATGAACACAAATCTCAGCAGCATCCAATAATAATGTAGAAAAAAATCTACATGGCTGAAGATTTCTTCGGATAATGTTACTGAAGGTTACTCATAGCCCTGCTACCACCTTTGCTTTAATCTGGTAGGAATAATTCACTAGGCCATCATTTGGACATCGTAAGATTCAAGATGTCTTTAAATTAATTATTTTCTTGCCTTTAAGTAATTGTAATTGTTTTCATTAGATTAGTCTTACATAGCCACATTTTGTCACCTTATTTGCTTCTGGAAATGCGTGCTTTTTATTTGTTTTGAACGGGTCTGATAACTAAGCAGGACTGTTTCTAAGAAATTGTTTCCATATCTACAAGGAAAAGCTTTTAGAATACGTTTTCTTGGGAATAACCAATGTGTGCTAGCTAGACTAAAAATGTGTATCTGTACAATCTATTCATTGTTGTTTCCCTGTGACTTGTTGCATACTCACTGTTGTGCATTGATTACCACCATGTGCTGGGAAGGTGTTCTTCCTGGCAATGCTCCATGGCCACTGTCTCGTGGAACAAATCACAGAATGGTTTGAGTTGGAAGGGTCCACAAAGATCATCTAGTTCCAACCCCCCTGCCATAGGCAGCAACAACTTCCACTAGACCAGGTTGCTCCTGTGCCAGTGTCTCACCACCCTTCTTCCAAATATGTAATCTAAATTTACCCTCTTTCAGTTTAAATTCATTTCCCCTTGTCCTGTCACTACATTCCCTTGTAAAATGTCCCTCTCCGGTTTTCCTGTTGACCCCCTTTAGGTACTGGAAGGCTGCTTAAAGGTTCCGCACAGCCTTCTCTTCTCCAGGCTGAACAATCCCAACTCTCTTAGCCTGTCTTCATGAGAGAGGTCCTCCAACCCTGTGGCCATCTTTGTGACCTTCCTCTGGACTCACTCTAACAAGTCCACATCCCTCTTGTGTTGAAGATACCAGAACTGCACACAGTACTCCAGGTGGGGTCTTATGAGAACAGAGTAGAGGGGGAGAATCAACTCCCTCAATCTGCTGGCCATGCTTCTATTGATGCAGCCCAGTATATAGTTTGCTTTCTGGGCTGCAAGCACATACTGTCCACTCATGCTGAGCTTTTCACCAGCCAACACCCCCAAGTCCTTCTCCTCAGGGCTGCTTTGAATCCATTCTCCTGCGTTTGGGATTGCCCCAACCAAGGTGCAGGATATAGGAACCTACTGTGATTCTGCTATTATTCTGTAGCTATTTTCAGGGCTTCACTGGTGTTAAGCTACCACTATCTCAAATGGCTGCCAAGCTGTATGGAGGAAACACAACAGAGATCAACAGTGGAGTGTCCTGAGAAGGGATTAGAAAGAGACACAATGGTGGTGTACCAATACTGGCAGAAAAGGAGGAGGTGGAGGTTGAGTAATTCCTATGGCTGGTTGGGATGAAGATTAATTATGCTGAGACTTTTAGCATGGTAATTTTTGCAAAGCATCTGTACAGACTGCAGTTTGAATATTCAGCAACAACCAACCAGTACAGCAGCACTTTGAAAATACTTAAAGATTTGGAAACTTGTTGACCCTGATTTGTGCTGGAAGCAGTGGCTGGACACATGTGCCTATATTTCAGTCTCAAAGTCAGGTTTCATAAATAGGAAAAAAAAGGTATTTTTTCAAGCTTCTGCAAAGCCTCATTGATTACTATGGAAAGTTCACAGATATTAATGCAGAATGATATATAATAGTTGATGACAGGTTTTTTAGAAATTCAGCCTTATTTACTGCAACAAAAACAAGAATTGCTCCCCAGACTGCAATGGATGTTAATGATGCATCCATTCCTTTTGTCACTCTGGGAGATCCAGACATCTTTTTGCTAATGATGCCTTTTGCTGGGCAAATGTGTTGGAGAAAGGAACTACGTGACTGTTCTGAGTAACTGTAGAATAATAATGAAAGGCTTTGTTAGGAAATTGAACGGCAGGTGGAGGAGCCTTACAAACACTCTGATCAATATTTGCTGCAAGTGGCAGATGTTCATCATGTCTTGTTCAAAATCCATTATAAGGAGGAGGTGTCTATACTGCTCAGAAAAACAGGAGGAGGGATTTGTCCTGCTCTTTCTTAAATGAGAGAATACAGTGCTGAGAAATTCATGTATTATAGTCAAAGATATGAAAGAGCTGCATCTTTGTTAATGCGTTTGTGTTATTAAGAGAAAACAAAAACTTTAGTGGGATGCCTCTGCCAATTTTTGCATGATAATTTTTACTTATTCAGCATAACTCTGTCACAGCGCAACTTATCTGCTAAATGCACCTATCTTTGCAAATGAAGGCAGAAAATCACTCCTGTTTTCTGGGAAGGTGCAGTGGGGACCTCCAGGAAGCCACCACTACTTCTAATGTTCTTCAGAGGTCTGTTTCCTTATGCGCAATTTACAGCAAATTTTCCCGTACGTTGTTTTCCTTGTTCCAAACTCCTCTGAATCTAGACACTCAAGTGAAAGTTAACACAAGTTGTCACAAGCATTCTTTCAGCTCTTTTTTTGCCTTCTGGCTCCTGTGCTGAAATCCATTCATAGAATCCTTGGGCTTCTTATCCTCCTTTTCTTTTTTTTTTTTGAAACATCTTTTATGCATCAAGAAGTTTGCAAGACTCATGTTCCTCATCATAATGGTGCCTCGGTTGCCAGAGACAACTTGCAAGTATTTGTCATTTCTACACTGAATTCAGCACCAATGATAATAGGTTGGGTTTTTTTTCTTCAATTTCAAAATGTCATTCCCATATGTTTTTCTAGTCTGGGCTCCCCTAAGCAATGGATATTCCCAGGGAACCCAGTAGTGTGTAACAAAATAAGATGCGTCCTAGTCTACATCTCCTCTCCATAGAAATCCTGTGCTGGTACTGGAATGGAAAGGAGGGAAGAAGATCCTGGGCTTATGAAAGGTGAACAGTAACAGGATTCAAGTTTGCACGTCTATGTGTGCCTCTATAGTAATGTTAACCTTGAAGTATGTTTCCACAAGATGCGAAAAAGTCTTACCAAAGAAAGGCAATGGATAAATCAGAATGATACGCAGCATTGCTTAGAAGGGTACTGAAATATATTCAGTTGCAGAAGTGAAAGAGGCACCATGCAGATAAGCAACCAAGAAGGCTGCGTTGCTTTGCTCTCTGCATAGTAAAATAGAGCACAGTCCTAGCCTTAAGATCTCCTGTAACACACACAGGTCAGCATCACGTGCACCAGAAGGGAACAGACTTTAAAGCAATTGGCCTGAATCCAAGAATTTTGTACTGCTGAAGATTTTATTATAAGTGTCGTATAATCTCAGCATTTTGAAATGTTTAATTTTGGTAATACATCTCATAAAATGTGAAAGGAGCTAAAGAGTGCTGAACAAACTATGAGCCAAAGTACATTTGCTATTGCTTTTTTCTGCATCTGCTTTTGCAATAAATATGCCTGCCCTGCAGTCTGTATTCTCTTTTAACGCATGCAGTGCTGCCACAGTATTTCAGTGGCAGGAAGAGTAGCAGTGAGCCCAGATACATAGTCAAGTAGGGCGAGGTGGGGACAAAAGATTTGAGTTCTTGTTTGTGGAGCACCACAATGACCACACTAGGGAAGGTCAGTGCCAAACAGATGGAAAGAGGCTTATGGTTCATATAGCTTGTGTCCACCACCAGAGATGGCAACCAGATACTACCTGGTTTAGAGATGCAGAGCTACAGTACATATATTATACAGGAATATTTCCCCTTGCAGCATTTTCAAGCTGACTGTCTCTCTGGATTTCAAACAGCATTTTTGTAACCTTAGTGTTTGCATTTCAGTTTAGTGGTTTATAAAAAAACAGCTCTACAATTCCCTATTTGAAGTGACATCATTTGACAGCTGTGGTAAATCACCTGGCTACATTACAACAATGGTGTTCAGCAGTGACTTCTCATGGATAAATCTGTCACAGCACATCCTATTCTGGACATTTAGAAATGTTGGAGAGCCTATTCATGTCCCTTGTCCTCTTGTAGACCAGCCAACATTATTTTGCTTTATGGTGGCAGTGGTTCATTTCTCAGGAATGTCTCTCTGTTGAATTCAGTTTGGCCAACACTCACAAATCCTAATATTTGAGGCAGTGTCATAGAGTTGGGGCTTGACGTGTTACACAGAACCCATGAGACAATATCAGGGGAGGAAAAGAGATGTATGAATCTGGAAACACACACACACTGGAATTGCAAAGGAAGCCATCAGCATTCAGTGAGAGTGATAACATATCTAATCTGGATGATCTTGTAACAGAAGAGGGCACTCAGGGGCCAGACAGCAAATAAACCTTATCACATTATACAGTGAGGGAAAATCATTGAAAAATTGAGAGAATCCTCTCATGAGCTTGATGTAGCTTACAGCCGTGGGCTGCTAAACCTGAGTTTCATTCATGCAAAAAGAAAGCCCAGCCACTTTAAAACAATCTTTGTGAACACACTCAAGTCAACTTACGTAAAATATTTGAAGTAACAATCCCTGTGTAGACAGGACTTCATTAGGTTACTTGTTATTGTTTTCAGAGTCCTCACCTGCTCTTTAAAGCACAACATACATTATGTGAGAGAATGATTGCTCATTGTTGTTGTGTCCCTTAATTGCCATCTATATTAGTGTGTTCAAAGGAATGTATTTTTCCTCTTCTGCCCTTCTCTGCCTGCATCTGACAGCACTCAGCATTTTCCACAGAGCTCAAAATTGCTCGCATTCTTATAAAAACGCCTCAGCCATATGGGATTTGCTGAGACAAAATAAAAAGTGCACGGCTCGAGAAAATGCAATACTTCATCCTGCGTATTGATTCCATGGCTGCCGTATAAACAGGAACTGTTAAAAGAATTTCCACTGACTTTATTGGCATTGGAGCATTGTGCATAGGCCAGGTGTGACATGAGCTCACCTGTCAAGAAAGTATGACACTGCATTTAAGTGCTGGGGTGAACTTTGATGTTTGTAGATATATTGCACCAGACAAGCTCCAGCTGCAATCTTGCAGATTTCCAGGCAGATGTACTTCCTTTTGCAAAGGAATGTGAGCTACCACGGCTAATTTTATGCTCTGTAAATAATGCTGATAGAGAAACAAACTTGAAATTATAGGTTAGATAGGCAAAATAATAGGTTAACTAGGAAAGTCAAAGCATTTGTTAATCAGAAATATGAGTATGTTCCTCAAGAAGCTGCAGGAACCCAACTGTAATGATGACAAATGAGAGATTGCAGAATAATAAGATCAGTCTCGCATACAGGCAGCACCATAACTGAGACTCTGTATGACATAGATGTGCTGTTGTACAGAGAAATTGGGCCCTTATATTCTGATAGAGAACATTTCCTCTTCTTAAAAGCCTGTGCTTGACATGCTTACAGTGTGAAGGTTCTGCTGTGTGCCTTGTGTTGTTCTTCCCCCTTCTGCTCCATCTTCCCTCCAGTACCCTCCACCATGACAGGGCTGGGCTCAGAGCCACCGAGGGCAGAGATCATATCCAGGGGGAAGAGAGACCTGGCTGGTATCCCAACCATATTCTATAGGTTAACCAAGACACCTAAAGGATGGTAGATATTTTAATAT